AGTGATTGAGCAGTAGGATAAGCAGTTGGGTCAGTTAAGACAACTGCTTAAAATGCTGCTGGCAAACTCCAATTTCTTATACGAGAAGTGTTGGGTGTGTGCTTTGTTAACTAAGGAAATCAACACACAATATATCCTGGTTCAGAGGTGGTGTAATCCTCCTATATCTAGTCCCATCCTATTTCAAATGGATTTCACTAATGTATTAAGCCCAATACACTTAGTGCCAATCTAGCCTTTACAACACTTAGGCCTAGATCGAAGGTTTTTCACAGTGAGTATAGCACCACTCAAAGTTACTCAGTCCTTAGACTTTTCTCTAATGACCAAGTGGGGATCAAAAGGTACTATATCTATCTAACCACACTCAGGCCGGGACCAACTGTCCTCCTGAAGTGTTTACAACAATTTGTGGTAGTGATTACAAGAAAGTTCTAACCTCCAACTAGGAACTAAACTTCTATGATTTTGGCAATGAAGGCTTGATACTGAGAAGTTTAGTGAAGCAAGAGACTAAGAAGAGAGTCGTGGATAGAATAGCACTTCTTGCTCAGTGAAATATCTCTCTACTTAGGATGCTCAGGCTTAGTTAGAAACTTTCGTTTCAGCATCTATTTATAGGCTTTTTGGCTGGTCAATCTTATCCATTGGGTAGGATAAATTGATCTCTACCGTTGAACTTCTGGCGAGGACGAATTGTACATTCGTCTTTTGTGCTGGAGCATTTATTGCGGCTGATCTCTTTGTCTTGCATTATTCAGCCGCTGAAGCATCTTCCAAGTGTGCGTCCCATGCCGCGGCCCCAGTACGTTTATGGCATTGATTGCCGGTCAATGTTTGTCTCTCAATCATTCACTTGATACACTTCTTGTAATACCCGAGATTAATTTAAGAGGATTAATAGTACTACTCATACCAACAGAGGTGCATCTCCTTTTAAGGGAGCTCATCACCCAAGAACTCCAGAGTTAAGCGTGCTTGCACGGGAGTAGTCTTGGGATGGGTGACCCCCTGGGAAGTTTCTCAGGGCGCACATGAGTGAGGACAAAGTGTGCGGTAAAGGCTCGTGGTGGTTTGTGGGGACACTACTAGAGGTCTAGAGTAACTACCTCGGGTCCGTGTGGGGCCCCGGGGTGTTACAGGTGGTATCAGAGCAACCCTGCGACAGTGTGCTGACCCGTTAGATATCGGGCGGGCACTTAGCGGGGCAAGATTCTGGGGTTTTATTGAGATTGGTTTAAGGGCGCAACGAGGACGTTGCGATCTTAAGTGGGGGTGATTGTAATACCCGAGATTAATTTAAGAGGATTAATAGTACTACTCATACCAACAGAGGTGCATCTCCTTTTAAGGGAGCTCATCACCCAAGAACTCCAGAGTTAAGCGTGCTTGCACGGGAGTAGTCTTGGGATGGGTGACCCCCTGGGAAGTTTCTTAGGGCGCACATGAGTGAGGACAAAGTGTGCGGTAAAGGCTCGTGGTGGTTTGTGGGGACAGTACTAGAGGTCTAGAGTAACTACCTCGGGTCCGTGTGGGGCCCCGGGGTGTTACATTTCTTTTATCAAAAAATGTGACATACGAAAACTTTTTGAGTCAAATAGTATTTGCCGGTAGGATTCAAATATCCTATAAAGGTAAAGAGAATTTACCTTATTGCATTTTTACTTTTCCGGTAATATTTCTTAGACTCAAAAGTTGTACATTTAATTTGTCACGTAAATACTAGAATAAAATGAGGTACAATGTACATGTGCTAAGTATAGTGGCATCATCAAAATCTATCCAAAATTGGGTACTAACAGTAACCCTACCCAAGACCACTCACTTATCTCCCAACAGACAGGTGTTTAATCATATTTCATGGGGAACCATGTCTCTCATTAATGTCTCCTTCCGAGACAAGTCATACCGACTACAGTGGCCTCGGCCTCATGCCACTGAACATTCATTGATCACGTCGTGTCTAGTTACCTCATTCTCAAATGTTTTGAATTTTCTAGGACAGAGACACACTTTTAGAGTCAGTTGCAGGTCTTCATGACCCGTGAGAACTTCCATAGGGCTCATCTGTTACTGATGTAGACCAATGATTGGAAGGAAGTCGTGCTGTTGCAACATAAAAATCACCAACATCTTCAGACCATTGCTTTCTCAATGCTAATCTTTATGATCATGCAAATAACAACCAGAATTACATCTATTCAGATGCTTCACAATAACCAGTTGGAAGTCCTGTTAGAGCTTTAATGTTTCTATCATTCTATACAGGCCACACATCGATGTTCACATTGATGCTGTGATAACGGAACACCTTAGTGTTTTCGAATCTATCCCTTTAACTTTATGTTTGTTTTATGTGTTTTATTTCCCAGTTCGAATAAAATAATAAAGGCATGATGCCCCGATTCATCGGATCGTCATGAGGGGGAGAGTGGTCCACATGCTCTTAACTCTCAACAAATCATTCTCGGACACTTCTCTCCTCCAACATTTTCTCTACTATCTCTATCAAAAGCTTCGAATAAAATGGACAACTACGCTCACAAGTCAATCATCATTTTCCGTTGTGCCACCGACAAGGTCTCCTCAAACGCATTCACTTCAAATAGTCTAAAAGACTACTTTGTGGAGGAGATAAAGGTCAGATACTCGTGTCCTGAAGATGAATCCGTGTGTGCCTGAAAATTATCAGAACATTCATTCTAAAGGCGTCTTCGGCCTTCATTCAAGGTGATTAAGAGCAACTTCTGGAAGGCAAGGATTACAAGCAAAAGATTCCTCAATTCCCGTCATCAAGATCAAATTGCCAAGAAGACATCAAAGGGGAGATTGTAAGAATTTCTTCATAAAGCTAAGCCTTCTCAAGAAGTCAAGTTCAAAGACAAAGGAAGCTGAATAACAACAAAGACAAAGATATCTGCGCTGCAATGCTGATTCCACACGATTGACCACCAAGGGGAGATTGTTGGGAATATTTTATGGTGTTCAATCTAATTAAATATCTCTGTATTTGTGTAGTTATTAATTAAATGTGTAATATGTGCCACAATTGTATATGATCCCATTAGCTTATGTGTAATCCATAAGTTAGCCAACTTCTCCTATAAAAGGAAGCTAACTTATGGAAAACCTAAAGGAATTAAGGGTTTTGAGAGAATAGAGGCGCAGAGATAGAGAGTAGGGTTTGCCGCTGCTCTCTCTCGAGGGAGGGCAACGGCCAGTTCACGATATACCAAATTTGGTTTTCATCTCGATATCTTTCTATCCGCTTCTTCTTCATTTATGACTGTTTGATTGTTAAACAGGGACTATCAATACAATTTTTACTTTATTATTCTCCGTGTCAGTCAAATTTGTCAAAATTTTAAGAGACGAAGGTAGTATTTAAAAATTGTAGGTTAGAAGTGCTTAGAGTTAGTTTTCATTTGTACTATATTCTAAAATAATTTGTAACGAAACACTTCAAATCTATTTTTCGAGTCACTTTAATTTTTTTGCACAAATAACTTTCAGAAGTAATGATGAATATATGATAGATAAATTCAAGTTACCTTCGTATACTTTAGTGACTATAATAGTAAAGTAATTATGAAGATATACTCGTAATAACTTAATATCAAATTTAACTTTGCATTATAATAATCATAAAGATATATCAGTAATAACTTAAGTAATCTTTTATCCACAAATTTTATTTCAATTATATACTTCCTCTGTTCTTTTTTAATTGCAACAATCAACATTTCACGTTTATCAACGCACACGTTTGATCAGTAATATCTTTAAAAAATTCATATTTTTTTTGGAAGAATTTGGCTTAAATTGAAATCTCAACATTTGGATGATGGGTAATCTGACAAGTATAATCCTGACAACCGTTGTCTCGCGAACCACACTCAGAGTTAATCACCTTATCAGAAGCAATATAATTCGCTGATCCATTAATGGGCACAAATGAGCCAAAACGGTCACCATATTCCTCTCATCCCCCATATCCAAAATCAACGTCTTACAAACTCGAATTATAAAGAAAAAGCAAACAACAAAGCAGGCATAAAAACCGCTGGAAAAATAAACAAAACAAATAAGATAAGTCTTCTTCCAAACCCTAGATTTACTTGCACTCCATGGTGGCGGTTCAGGAGGGGGGCACGCCCGCCGCTTATCGGCCACAATCTCAACATCAGCCTCATCTGGATCCAGATCTTCTTCCTCTACCCCACTCGCCATCTTCTTGTGTTTGTCCACGAAGCTATCCATGCAAAACTGTTGCTCTAACCCTCTGCCAGAACCTCCGAATCTGCTCATTGTCGAGACCCACCACCTTAGGCACAATTAAAGCAACCAACGAATGCTTTGCTCGAATCAACCAAGACAGATCCCAAAACGATTAGGTTGATGGCCCCAATCCCAAAAAAGAACACACAAAAACAATCTGCTATGCCTATATAAGCAACTAACAGACGCAAAATCCAAACTCGCACCACGATCGCACAATCGTAGCCGGACAAACGCTCCTAGGAAAACCCTTGGAGGCGGCGCTGCTCCAAAGTTTATGAAACTCGCAGGACTCTCTCGCATCTTTAATTCAACGTTATACGATAGTATTTTTAAAAAATTCATATTTTGAAAATTTAGAATGAGAAGAATTTAACAGTACTTTTTAAGAATTTAATTTAATTATAATACATTAATTAATAAAACATAGTCAAAGTAAAATATGTAAATAATACAAAAAGTCCAATGTTGCAATTAAAAGAGAATGAAGGTAGTGTATAAGGAAAAAATTGTAGAGTATAATAATGTCTTAATTAATAATATTTCTTCTTACCCATAGTATTTGGATTCAAGATCAGGAGCCAAGTGCATGTTCATATTAAACCAAGTGCAGGAACCCAACCCTAATAAACGCTGTCAAATTGGACTGGCCCATCATAATATCGAACTAGGTTTTTGAAAGGCCCTAATTTAAAACCCTTGTTACGATAGCTACTTCGCGGCGGAGAAAGTAGAAACAAGATAGGACGCACAGACTTGGCTGCTTCAGGGATCGTGAAATGGCGATTTACAAAGTATGAACTTTACCCGTCCTTTTCCGTCTTTCTTCTTCTTCTTGAATCTGTATTCATGCGCGTGCACAGGCTTACCTTCTCAAGGAATCTAGTAATTTTTATGTTTTGTTTGTTTGCAGTTCCATCAATACCAGGTGGTCGGAAGAGGTCTCCCTTCGGAGTCTGTTGAGCAGCCAAAGATCTACCGCATGAAGCTATGGGCCACTAATGAGGTCCGTGCGAAGTCCAAGTTCTGGTAATGCCCTCCCTTTTCCTCACATGGATATTTGTTTGTTTGTTCTTTTAACTAGATGTGTCTAGGCGTCTTGTAATATCTTTTTCTTTCCAAAGGTATTTTTTGAGGAAGCTGAAGAAGGTGAAGAAATCCAATGGCCAGGTCCTAGCAATCAATGAGGTATCGACACCGCTTTCATATTGGATATTTACCTACTGGTCGTATATCAAACGATTGATCATGTTGATGTTTTAATATTTTGCGCCTAGCATTGAGCAATAGCTTCATGTGGACCATCTCTGATCATATAAATTTCTTGTAATTTGTCATGGTTTTTCCAAAATGCACTTCTGGTTATATCTGTACTCTGTGCTGTGCATTGTTATTTGTACTATTAAGATATATGGTCACTTTCTGGAAACCCTAGGCCGATAGGCAATTATAATGCTGTTCCTCTGACTACATATTTTCCTGTAGCTTGAGTAACATTAAAATATTATTTACCTTATGAAATTCTTAGTAAACTAAAAAAACCATGGAAATTTAGTTGCTTTTTTTGTTTTCACCATATACAATGTCGATGAAAATGGACTGAGGCTGCTCTTTAATTCATATTTGGGCATACATGCAATAGTTCGTAAGTGACTGAACAATTATGAAAGCAGTTATCAATATGTTACTGAAATAAAAGTGATGAACAACAAATGTATCACCTTAATGATTAAGGGTTATACTTTAGTACTTTAACTGTGCAGTGACTATTGGGGTGGTAGTAGTGACTATTAGTGCATGACTATGATTTTAGTAATATTTTGGCAAAACCTCCACAAATACTTGCGTACCCCTTCCCAAAAAACAGAAAACTAATACAAATGAGTATCCACTAATCTATAAATCAAATTCATCAAATTTGAATTTATTGCTTATTCCCCCCTATGGTTTCCCCTTTCAATTTACTGCAATGTTTACTTTCCTAATTTTTTCCTTGGCATTTTCATTCACCAATTTCTGAAGATATCTTCCTCCTCTTCATTTACTGCTACCAATTTTCTTGAATTGTATTTTGTTCTTGGTGCCATGATATTTTGCAGCCATGTTGTTTGTTAATGAACTATATTATGTTGCATATTTGTAGATCTTTGAGAAGAATCCCACCACTATCAAGAACTTTGGAATATGGTTGAGGTACCAAAGTAGAACCGGCTATCACAATATGTACAAGGAGTTCCGCGATACCACTTTGAATGGCTCAGTTGAACAGATGTACACTGAGATGGCTTCTCGCCACAGGGTCCGCCAACATTGCATTCAGATAATCAAGACCGCTACTATCCCAGCAAAGCTATGCAAAAGAGAGAGCACCAAACAATTCCACAACTCCAAGATCAAGTTCCCTTTGGTGTTGAGGAAGGTGAGGCCACCATCCAGGAAGCTCAAAACCACTTATAAGGCATCTCGACCCAATCTCTTCGTTTAAACCTTTTTGCCATACTTTACTGTTGTTGTGTTGATTTTCACATTTTGGATGAACTTGTTTCGGTCAAAACATCGTTTGGTTAAAGAGGGGAATGATTTGTTTCTTTGAGCAGTGATAATTTTATTTTGCCTTGCTATAAGTAATCGTTTAATTTATTATTTATGATAAGCTAGTAGCTAGTTCTTCAAAATAGTAGTATAGGCGGTTTGGAGTTTAACCATACTTTATGATGCTTATTTCTTTTAATGTATTGGAGCAGGTCTTTTGGGAGGGTTTAGTTTTTATTTGGAAATGTTATCTGTTTCATTCATTTCATTAATTGTACCTTCTGGTTTACCAAAATATGTACATTCTATCAACAATTTTTTTCTTTTCCAACTTTTTATATTTGAAAAATATGACACCCTATTCTTGAGGGCACAAAACTTAATGGAATATTTGACGTTTTATTGCTTGGCGAGTTTGTTTTCTTTTTAAGAGTTTTTTTATTATAATGATAAAATAAGAGAGCAGGTGTATTCAGTTTGATCTGTTTTCACAAGGATCATATGGATTCATTATTTGTAGTACAAAATGAGACAAAATTATGATCAACTTGCACGTCTCATTCTTGATTTAGCTATTCTAAAACCTAGTAAAAGACAAGAATTGGTGCATCAAAATGAAGTTTAATCTTTGAGAACAACTTTTCAACGAAATTGCTCAAAACACAAATTGGTTTGGAACGTTGATTAATTATACACGCTTTACCACAATTGGAGATTGAAATTATCTTATTTGATCTTAAACTTCCCCATAAACTTCCCTAAACGCTTTACCACAGTATAGGGATGGACTAAACCGGGTCAGCTCGGAACTGGCCCGGCCCGCTGCGGGCCGGCCCGGAACCGGCCTTGCCCGCTGCGGGCCGGCCCAGAACCGGCCCGGCCTGCTGCGGGTCCGGACCGGGACCGGTTGGCCGGTTCCGGGCTTTTAGCCCGTTTGGGCGGGTCGGGTGGGCCAGGCTCGGGACCAACTTTTGTTGAACCGGCCTGGTTCATTTTTTTTTGTTTTTCAATTTTTTTTCTTTTCCAAGGGTAGGTCTGGGAGGTTTGGGGGGGGGGGGGGGGGGGGTTGGGGATAACAAGAAAGGCAAAAAAAAAATTAAACATGGAACCGGGCTTGGCTTGGCCTGGTTAGGCCCGGACCCGGTATCAATCCGGGTCGGTTCCGGGTCCAAGTAATTACAAAAAAAGCCCGCCTGGGCCCGGAACCGGACCGGCCTAGGTTCATCACTACTCTGTTGTTAAAGTTTTCGTGTTTATTATGTGCTTCGATGGACTGATGGAGACCCAATCAATCCTATCTATCGACGATATCATGATTTTTTATGAAGCTCAGGTCTTTAAAGTATGATGAAGCATAATAATAATGAGATAAAACACACGTATCTATTTATTTTAATTATCAAAACGGCTTTCCATTAAAATAGAGCAAAGTCGCAACACCAAATCCAGACAGATATTACAGATCCGAACGTAAGCTCTAGGAATAGACTTAGAGTCAGTCGCCCATACAAAGCAATATGACTCGCTAGACACAAAACGGGCAAGAAGAAACCTAAAACGACCGAAAATGAAACACTGCCTATGAAGAGTTCATCAAAAATCAAAATACTCCAATCATACCCGATCGAATTGAAATAAAAATAAGTACTACGAAGGGAAAACAATATGAAAATAAAAACTTTCCCCAAATTACTTTCTCGCAGAGAGGTTGTTCCGGAGGAGGGTGAGCTTCTGTAGTATGATAGAAGAACATTTCAACGTCTAGAAAATTCATCTGAGAGCCTATCATGCCAATCACCTGATCAGTCACCTTCCCATTGCTCGCCAGGTCTTCTTCTTCCGCACTAATTGCAATTTGATCAACAAAATTCTTTATAAATCTCTATGCCTTATCAAGCTGACTAAAAACTCCGGAACCGCTGCTGCACAGACCAATCCGTCCGCTTCACTGCTTCGTTAAATCCGCTGAACGCCTCCCGAAACACCTCTGCTCAAATCTACCTCGACGGATCTCACCCCGCGATGATCTCTGTAACCTCCTGACCGATCACCTTCGTCCACCCTCAAGACTGATCAATAATAACAAATTGGCTGGTCGAAATCGTACCCCGCTCCTCGGATAAGCGGATAGCGGACTCTCCGAGGCTAAAGATCGCCTTGCGGCAACACACGCATCTACTTTTAAATGGAAAGTATTTCTTGGCGGTACCTCTTTTCTCCACTCTTTTTAATTCTTTTGCATTCGGTAGTAATTATGTAATAGAAAGTTGTTGGGCCAAAAAAACAAATGTACTCGCAGCTTACATAACAAAAAATATATGGACTCAAAATTTTGTCTGTTTTTCCAACTCAAAACGAGATGATTCGTTTTGATATAACCACCGACTTCTGCCAAGCATTGTAATTATCACCTTTGAATATTTCGTAGATGATTCGAACACCAGAATGATCTGCTGGATGAAGGTAGTACAGCGATGAAGGATGTTCCGTAGGATTAGGGTTTTGAACATTAGCAGTTGACATCGTTGAAAAATTCAATCGATTAAGAGGAAGATAAGCGGAAGGAATGATCGAATATGTAGCTAAACTGATACCATGTGAATTCTTACAGGAAGAAGAGATCAATTTAAATAAGAATTTCTGTATAGTAAGAATAGGAAAATAAACGAGAGTATTTTGATCTCAAGATGATGATCGACAGAATTAATTAGGTCTTAGGCATAAACAGATCCTTTTTATATCTAATACTAAAAATAGAATAAAATGAGAAAAGACTAATATTTGCAGTTTAGTCCTTCAGCTCTTGTTCTTTATTATTTTGAACTCGTAGATAATCTTTGCCAGACGTACGTACAACCTATCCTTTAAATTGGTAATGAGCGAAAATTATATGGAGCATGTGAACATGTTACATAAAGAGCAAGTTGATGAGATGCACATTATTCATCAAATATAAATAAAGTTTATTATTTTTATGATATCAATGTATTTGATGCTCGAATCTCATTCCGGAAACATAATTAGTTATATCAATGGATCAGAGTATTTATACTTTTGAATCACATATGGGAGTATCTTGCACACTTATACTCTGTACATTTTAGCTAGAATTATTTCATTAAAATGCCAACTGTATTGGAAAAGCACGAGCTACATATGTAAAAAAAATAGACGAGTTGCACACCTTAAGTTATTATTACTACATATTAGGGAGTAATATGTAATTGTATTATTTTTTTGGTTCTTTATAGTAACAATTAATATATTCTATTTGTGAGTGCAATCAAATGAAATAGATCAAACTTTAGTAAAGAGGTGCAAATAATTAAAAATCACAAAGTTTACGTGATATTGTGAAGAAATTGTGGAACACAACCAACATGTGAGTGAGTGTGCACTGCAAGAAGCTCAGCAGCTGGAAACGTTATTGAAGGTGCGGCATGACAGGGAGTAATAACAAACCTCTCCTCTCGGGGTACATGTAAATATGTAATACACCACTTCTATCTTAAATATACATTCTACTCTCTTTCCACAAAAAATTGTTAAATTAAATTCTCTTAATTAATGATACTCAAATTTAACTGATATTTTTTTAGAATGGAATTATTTTAATTATGAAAACAATTCAAGACAATATACCGTGGTGCATGATGTTTGCCGATGATATTGTATTGATTGATGAGACGCAATCAAGTCTTAAAGCAAAGTTGGAAGTATGACGACAAACATTGGAAAACAAGGGTTTCAGCTGACTAAGTCAGAGCAAGACAAAGTACATGAAGTGCAAGTTTGGTGGAGGTAGAAGCAGTGGTAATAGCGGAGTTACTCTAGATGATAAAGAGATATTGGTAAGCGACATGTTCCGTTACTTGAGCTCCATAATTCAGAAAGACGGTGAGTTAGATGGAGACGTATCCCATATAATCAGAATAGGGTGGATGAAGTGGAAGAGTGGGTCATGATTTTTTGCGATCGAGGTATGCCGACTAGACTGAAGGGGTAAATTTTATAGGACACCAATTAGGCTTGCATTAATGTATGACGTAGAGTATTGGACGGTGAAACAATATCACATTCAAAAGATGAGTGTGACAGAGATGCACATGTTGTGTTGGATGTGTGGGCATACTAGAAAGGACCATGTGAGGAATGAGACAATCAGACAAAGAGTGGGAGTAACACCTATTGAAGACAAGATGCGGGAGTCGCGCCCACGATTGTTTGGTCATGCATGTGTGTAGAAGATCGAGTGATGCACCTGTCAAAGAGTTGAGATGTGTGGAGAAGAAGCATGGAAGAGAGGGAGAGGAAGGCCCAAACAGACGTGGGTTAGAGGAGTCTGAAGTGATATGCTTCTTCTTGGGTTGGATGAGGGTATGATATAGCTTTGGAGAAAGCAAAGTGGAGGACGGATATTCGTGTGGAGGATCGATATCGTTTTATCTTTTCCCCTCATATTTCTTCTTCTTCTAGTTTTTTAATCCTTTTATCCCTATTTATATAAACATTATTTTTATCCTTTTTATTTTATCATTTTATGTATATTCATCTCCTTTTATATTATCTTTTTTATAATAACTTATCTTTTTTATCTTTATTTTCTTTCTTTTCCTTTTGGTGGTGATATCATGTATCGATTCATGTTAGCCGACCCCAATATCTTTTGAGACTAATGCTTGGATGTTGTTGTTGTTGTTGTTATAATCCTTATTAAAAATACTTTTTATAAAAATATAAGATTTATGAATTACATACAAATACAACAATCAAAATCATTGTCCAAATAGCAATAAGATGCGGACATTTTCCCCTTTCTTAGGGTTTTCTTATTCCGCCGTTGTGTGCGGCTAATCTTATACAACCGATACTCCTATGGCAGCGAACACGAGCATAGTGGCGGCAGGTGGGTCGTGGCAAGCAGGAGGCAACGCAGAAAGGTTTCGAGGACGACATTTGGGGCTGAGATGAGATTAGAATGTCATTGGTGAATCTTGGGGCTAAAGGTTGGAACAGATCTGAATTCGAGGTCATCTGTGTTTGGTTGCGAAAACTCGATGAATAAGAGGCAGGGTGAGGAAAAAGTTGCGATACTACTGACTCATACCCCTCCTAAAACACCGCCATGGAGTGAAGGAAAGTCTAGGGTTTTGAAGAAGACGAGTGATTTCTGTTTTAATTCCGTTTTATTTTGTTTGTGTTTTTGTTTTGAACTGCACATTGTTTTGGTTGTGTTTTTATTTTCTAGTAGAAAAACTCTAGAATTTAAGACATGTGATGAGAAATATGAGTTGTCTGTCATTGGCTCAGTTAAGTCCACTACATGATCAGTGGCGGATTTTACTACTAAATTTTTTGGGTGTTCAAAAATATTTTACTATTAAAATATTACATAAAAGTTACATACATAAATTCTTAACATGTATTTTTGTATTGAATTTTCAAAT